CCCCAAATGATATTAAACCGAAATGATAATAAAAAGAAAGATAGATAAGAAATGATAATAAAACCGTATGATATCGTGTCCGCATACAGCGATTTCAATTAAGGTTGTCGCCGAGCAAAGCGGAATAGTCGAATACGAGCGCGAAAGGCTTGCTGGGAATCGCTAAAAACTTCATTAATTTTTTCACACACATTTTTTAGCACTTTTCCGCTTTGCTCGGAGACAACCTTAATTGAAATAGCTGCATAACTATAAGAGTGTATAAGTAATTGCAAAATGTGATCATAACTTATGGAGAACAAACGTGTTTCCGAAATTGTGACTGAAAGCATCTAAGCGACTCTATTTTTTAACTCAGTTAAGAGACTCTGAAGTCTGAAGTAGGTTGGAAAGAACTAGTCCAATTTTTTATAATCGTGTATTTGACAAATAGATAAGATTTTGCCGTTGTCTTTTCAGTTATAGATACACAGTATGACGTCATAATGTGAGAAGAACAAAAATGAAAACCCCTGAATTAAACAGGTAAATAGTTTACTTTTTATCTGCAACCCAAACATTTGGAAATTTGAAAGAGTTGAAATTTTACAAATATCACGCGTACATGATCTATACAAATAAGGGAATGCCATTGGATAAGGTTTTGTTTGACGTAATTCCGTGCGTCTGTTCTCTAATAGATCATGGCTCTTATAGTAGATCCTTGTTGGAGTTTGCTTATCCAGTTTTTCATGACAGTCTACTACCTGGTATGCGTACTAAGAGGCATTAGCGACTGCAACTTATTAAACTTTACTAACAAATTTTGAACAACGAGACTCGTAAATCAGTTCATAAATTACTACCAGTTGTACACAGCTCCTCGGGAAATTTAAGGAAAAGGGCGTAAATTTACAATACCTACAGTTAAGACAGACCGTTTTAACAGTTTTATTATTAGTAATTCTATAAAAGCGTATCAGTAATTAGAACTGATGTACGTATATTTGTAGCTATTATGTGCATTTAAATTTTATAATTCAGGCAATATCTGAAAAGGTTATTTTGAATACACTATCTACCAAAGAAATAAGATATATCTACTGTAGAGAAATACGGTACCATACAAATCACAATCATAATATACAGTGAGAGATTCTGCTAGCGTTGAATTTTGAATAACATAAGAAACGTTAATAACAAATATGTCACCTACTGCAATTTCTTATCAACTACCTTGTCGCTTTGCGATAAACCAAAAGCCAAACTCAGCCAGGCTGAAAAAATGAGGATTTTCAACAGAATCTTCACAGACATAATTTTGTAAATTTCGTCTCCAAGCAAGTTCTGTCTTCTTCCTTCAGCCCCTTGAGACGTAATGAATGCATATACCTATTGTGTTCAGTTTTAGTGTGCACGCCTCTTGACAACCGGTTAGAAACATATCTGACAAAAGAGCCCAGCGATCTTCATTAAACACCAGCGTCTTGCATTTACAGTACAGTCTGCAGATGTGCAGTGTACATGATCCAATATGGTATTATTGATCGGTTTTCTTGAACAGGTCAGCTTGTGATTATTTTGTTAGAAGGTAATTTCTACAGAATTTACTCTCTTTTTCCTTAAAAACAATTGGAGTGCATGGATGGACAAGAGTCCAATCAGAATTGAGTATTTTTATATCAAATGCTCTACCACCATTTATCGATTTACTGAGATTAGTTATGAATCATATTTACAAGATATGAAAATGTTTTATTCTTTAATCGACTTTTACGAGTTAGATATCGAATTTATTAATTTTGTAATTACTAAATTGGAATATCGTCAAAAGAGTGGACATATAGTCTATCAACATATGATTGTCTGGATTGAAGGCATTGTGTAGTGTATCTAAATTGTAGTGTAATTACTAAATTGGAATATTGTCTATCAATTAGATATGATTGTCTGGAAACCGAGCTGAAGGCATTGTGTTGTGTTGTTGTCTGAGTTTATGTTAATTTGTGCACGGTCATGGTGATTGAGCTCATTGTATTTTCGTATAATTAAGTAACCGCCCACTAATGCTGGCACGTGCAACCACGATGAAAATATTCGGTGAAGTTGAGACAAAGTCAAAGAATTTGTGCACGGTCATGGTGATTGAGCTCATTGTATTTTCGTATAATTAAGTGAACGTCCAATGGGGATGAAACGTGCAACCACGATAAAAATATTCAATGAAGTTGAGACAAAGTCAAAGGATTTGTGCACGGTGAGATACAGTTCAACATCGAACAATGACCTTCTATTTTGTGGCTTTGAAGTTTACCGGGCTTCCATGCAGACCATCATATCTGGACAGACCATGGGGTGGAATATGAAATAGCACTCCTTCTTTGTAGTTTGATGAATTTTAAATGAATTGATCCTTCAAAACAAAATTAATAGAACTGTGTTCAAAATCAGCTTCGTGAACAGTGGAATTATATATTGCGACATCCACACAACCTACATGCATGGCCAAGTTCTGAAAGTTGGTATATGATCGATTATTGAAAATTTACAATTCGAAAAAAATCATTCGAAGCAATCCGCTTTCGAAAGATAACAGTTTTTCAACATACAAACCTCAATGTTGTATTAATTTTTTAACGTGCGTACATGCGAATTTCCAGAGAACTTGGTCAATCGAGGTACACACGTAAAAAGGCACAAATTGTAACAATTTAAACCTACAGAAGATTTGTCGCGATGCCTTTCCAACAATTTGTCAACAGGAGTGTTCGCACTGCTTGTTCCCAACTTGTTGACAAGTTGTTAATGGCTTGTTGACAACTTGCTACATGAAGGCTGTTGAGCTCAACAGACTTTTTACAAGTTGTTCCAACAACTTGTTATCGTCCTGCAATTCAACAATTGAGTTGTCAACAAGTTGTGAGTGACAACCTTGAGCAAATTGATAAAATAACAACATTGTTACAACTTGTTGACAAGCTTGCTACAAGCCTGTTGCGAACACATCTTGTGGACAAGTTGTGAGATTTTTACGTCTGTAGTGTACACGTGTTTTTTAGTTGGGGGGGAGGGGGAGGTTAATAACTACAATATCTTACCTATAATAACTCATTTCAGCCAGCTATTGGCTGAGGAAATTTAGGGTTAAGCCTTCGTGGAATATAACAGTAGTTTATACTTTATAATTTAATACCGTAGTATACTCGAAGCATCTTTTATTGGTATTATTTATCTATACTGCTGAAGGAACTCAATAATTTGGCTGTTACACACTTAACATTGTGAAATTCCATTGTACATTTTTCAAACACGATTAGATATCTAATGGTCAGACTAAGGGCACGTTTAAAAGCATGTTCGTGCAACTTTCACATGATCTTAGATTGTTTTCCACTCGTCTGAACGTTTCTGATTAGTTTTTAGTTTCTTTATGGTGGGGGTGGTCAGATCTGAACTTCGCTATACAATTCTTTTTCAACGTTTCACCGTATATACATATTGGCGTGGTGGTGTGAGTGTGATGTACATTTTATTTTTGTACATTTTACGCAATTCAGCCTTTGTAAAATCATATTAAACTTATCTAAATATCTAGCTGCGAGTACTTTCGACCAATCACAATGCTTGACAGTTTAATTAATTAGATGCATGCACTCGCAGCGAGCTTGCGAGTTTATTTTTGCCAACAGTGGATAAGAGACCTTATTATCCAATTCTGATTGGCTAAGGGAAGTGTAATTTTGTTGCAATACACTGCCAAAAAATTAATCCAGTGCCAAATATAGTAATTCAGTGACAAGCACGCAATTAAAATGCACTATGATTTAAGTTTATCTTCTGACAGTTCTAAACTGGTATAAAGTTGTGTTGTGACATTCAATTAAATGAGTGCATGAATAAATAATCTATTTCGCATGTGTTTGATGCATGCAATTGTGTATGCATTTGTTTCTGCATAATAAAAAATCCCATGGAGTGAGGTCAATTTCTTAATGCTCTAAGGCTGGCATTTTCTGTAATACCAAATGAAGGAACGATTCAAAACAATATCTGATTATCCACTTTTATTCTTTTCAATTTATATTCTAGTGCAATATTTTTCATTCATTCTACTTAAACATAAAGCAGATTTCCTATTTTTAAGTTTTTATATAGTTTGATATGATATAAGAGGCTTGATATTGATTATTATTAATATTAATAAAGATCTGTAAAGTCCATAATGTAAACAAACGCTTTGTTTACATTTTGAACTGCTAGTATATTTGTAAAATATGATATACTAACTGAATATCTAACACTTTTCTGGTTTGCTATGCTTGTAAATGAATAAACTCTACGTTTCAATTCAAAAAAGTTCGAAAAATGCAAAAATTTGGCAATGTTTATATCTGCGGGTCCCCCTTTGTTAAGAGCAGAACGGACTTTACAGCATCTTTAAGCGTAGTACTAAGTACTAACGTTGAATATGTAGCGCGAAGTGAACATGCAGTCAGTAACCACCCACAGTGCGCATATTGTTAGTGATAATTATGTCCTATAAGTTCTACTTTTGTGTTAAACTATTTTTGATTGACACTTTTACCAAAGACGCGTTCTATACTACTTATGCTAAGTGATAACGTTTCAGTTCATGTATTATCCGCTCTTCTATCCTAACCCCAACATCGCAATTTTCCCAGTGTGTGGTATCCTTTCTCATGTCCCGCACCGGTATCTCCAAATCTCATCTCAGTAACAGGCAGTGTGCTCTTGTCAGTCAGATATCCACTGTCTTCACGCCATGTCCGGTCATTCGCGTCACAATTACATTTTCCTCCACCTGCACAGCTGTTGGTCAATCCACATGCACATTTTCCACTGTTGACTGCCGCCCCGCCCCAGTAATTCATCCGCGAACCTTGACGTGATACCCACCAACTATCATGTGTAGAGTAAAACCAAAAACCGCTGCTATAACATTGATATTTTATAAACTGCTCACAATTCTTGGACTGCTTCACAATGGCAAGGATCTGTTCCATGGAAATATCATATTTAATCTTTCGTCTGTAAGAACCTGGAGATTCATATCCATTCACAAGTGTCGTTGATTCACTGTCATGTCCAATCACCGTCACACCAACACCATTCTTTGACGTCATATCACAGTATAGGTGAACCAATGGCGATGAACTGAGTCCAAGAGGATTTAAATAATACATTCCACCGGTTGTTGATGAGTGCTTTAGCGACAAAGCTGAACAAGACTGCTTGTGTAACCTGTCGAAACGCTTCAAAATATCTATAAAACATAATAATTTTTCGTTTGTATTGAAAGCTGTTAAACTCGAAAATAATTCCTGAGACGCGCGTTCGTAATACTCTTCTGGGTACATAAGGGTAGATGTGGATATCAGTAGACACTTCCCAAATTTGCTTGAGTGCACACGAAACAACAGCTTGAAATGGAGGCGGGCAATGTAATCCACTGCAAATAAGCAGTTTAAACGGAATAATACTTTGCAAGCCGCAGACATAAAACAGCATATATAGCAACAAACAAAATTGTTTTCTATACACGTCCAGTAAAATCGCGATTGGAAACTAAAACGACGAGTGCACATTAATTAGGCTATAGTATTATAATAACACTGTTTGATGCTCGCATTTATCAATTGCGTATCATTACTCATCTACAGAGATTCATGTTTGGAACTTGGATATTACATTTGGGTGTTAGAGTTTGGCAAGAGTCTATAGAGAACTTTTCCTGATCTTAATTAATCAGCTTGTTTAAGCAAAGCAAAGGAGTAAATATAAATATTTGTAGTGTTTAAGGAGTAAATATCTGTAGTGTTTTTTAGTTTAGCTGCATGTATTAGTATAGAAGCAAATTTTTAACACTTTAAATTAAATTGCAACCTCCTTGCTACGGTTTAATAAAATTGTGATATAGCCTTATTTTCTATAACTCTAACAATGTATACGCTTATTGATCTTTTCGTTTTCTTACATTGGATTTCTACTTCCAGCTTTTTAATCATACTCCCTTGCCTTTTGACTTGTTTCTTCAATTTCTCAAACTAGAATAAGATTTAATTGAGAGATTAGAAATACCACCACTGAAAGTGAAGTGGCATTTTTGGGACATCCTGTATAGTTAAATCATTTTCAAACTTTTCGTCTGTTGGCCGTGCTATTTATAGAGCACATATATAGTTAGTTATTTATGTTTATTGCAGAGGAATATAGTTTTGCATGGGCTGGTAGTCTGGGAAATCCCGAAAAAAATAGACCGGTATTTATAAGTCAATACATTTGGCCTTAAAAACTCTACTGATTTCCATTGTCCAATTAATGTCTTCGCATTATTTCACCAGTGCTCAGACTCACTTTAGCCGAATCAGGACCAGTTTTCTCAACCACAGTTCCCGACATCCAAGATTTTGCATGGACGTCTGAAATCTTTGATATAAGCTGTGTCATCCACTTGTATCTCCCATTAGCATGATAATCATGGGATGATTTTTGTTGTGTTCGCTTTTCCAGGACTCGGTCACCAACGTTTGTGTGGAGTAGGTCCAATTGGGTGTGTAATTTCCGATTCATCAACAACTGAGCCGGTGGAACTCCCGTGGTGGAATGTGGGATAATACGACACTTGAGAAGAAATCTAACCAGCTTGATTTTTAGGCTCCTTCCATTTTCGCTATTCCTTCCCGCTCTGCCAGCTCTGCTTGGTCATTAGGGCCTGGATGATACGGTGATACTTTAATATGTTCAATGCCATTCTGACTCATAAATAGCTCAAATTCGTTGCTTAAAAAGTTAGTCCCATTGTCACTAACGACTGTCTTGGGTAGTGCATGGGTCGCAAAGATTTCTCTTAACTTTTCCATTGTAGCTGTAGAAGTAATTGACTTCATCATGTGTAATTGCACCAACTTTGAATAGACATCTATTATGCATCAGTCAAATCCAAGCGTGCCCATCTCATCAGGAAACCCCCGACCTTTTGACAATTCTCGAAAGTATGCGACAAATTCCCGGGGGCGGGGATAAAAAACACGTGAAAATGCCCTGCAGCGGGGCAAAAAGTCAGTAGCAAATCGCCCTCCCCGGGGACAGCTGGACTGTTTGGCTAAGAAGAGTAGGTTATCTAACTACCTGAAAATAAAGAGAATACTTTCTTCGGCGTTTCGGCAGGAAATGCCTCGGGGGCATGGGCACGCTTGGATTTGACTGATGCATTAGCACAGGGAACATTTCTCCTTTGTACGCTCCAGCATAATCTATATAAACTTGTGACCATGGCTGGCCTGGCCATTCCCAGAGATGCAGTGGTGCCTCGTCTGGTGTTTTCTTATTCTGCTGACATTTTCTGTTCTTCAATGGTATGAATTCCATGGTATGAATTTCACTATCAGTTTTTCCAGTGTAATTACTACGCATTTCACTGATATGTGCATTCCGCATTTTCTCTCGCTTCCGAACGACGTTCGACCATAGACAATCCAGAAGACATGTCTTCTGGATTGTCTATGGTTCGACGCAGGCCTTGAAAAGGCGCCAAATTTTGTGACCAAGCCTGCGTCGGAAGCGAGAAAAAATGCGGAATGCACATATCAGTGAAATGCGTAGTAAGTTATTGACGAAGAAAGATTAGGTATATATTTGGGATTATAACAAGCCAATATATATATACTGCATATTTAATTCCCTATTACGCCCAGAATGTTATATTAAGTATTAGTAATCATATCTTACTGCTGAAGGAACTCAATAATCTGGGTCAACATACTTAACAGTTGTCAAATTTCATCGTATCCAAACACGAAGATTAAGATATCTTAATATGGTCAGGCTTATGCCACGTTTCAGATTATTTTACTCATTGTTTTGACTGTTTCTTCTTGAAGCTGCTGTATGGTTCAACTATTTTCATTGAAATGTTTCTTCATTTTTGCCAAAGCGATCACAGCAGATGTGACGAGGTAGCTCACCTTTCAAAAAAGTATGTTTGCATGCTCCTGAAGTGAATGCAAACTTTCAGAACAGTTAATGAAAGGTCGCATTGCTGATGCACTCCTTAAATATACCTGATATACTTGTTTGTCTTTCTTGGAAAAGTATATATACATTACACTTACAGAGACTTTACATGTACAGGATGTCCAAAAAATGCCCCCACTATATGATTTGTATATAGTATTACTATATGTCGGCATTGATGTGAGTTACGGATTTTTACTTTTGGCATGAAGTCAGAGTGAAGCACGCATACATTTTATCGTGACTACTAATTAAGCTATATACCTATACTACATAAACGGTTGCGGTAGTTCATATATATAGCCACATTGATATGTTTTCGCTTAACCGCGTGGTCATACCTTTGCGTCGCGGCAAAACTCGCCTACAAGGACCAGTGGGTTAAGAAGCAACAGCTTGAAATTTAGCAAAATGAAGCACCCAAAATACAAGGATCACTTCAGGCTGACGAATAAGACTGATTCTTAAAAAAATCCTCTAGAATGCATGTTCTAAGCGAGGGCAGGCGGGTATTTGCAGGTGTATGCTTGATCTAATACCAATGTAAGTGGAAAAGCATATAATCTGTTGTTGGGTTAATGAGGACACTCGGAAACCTTTAAATAGTTATTATTAGACGACGTGTAATACTGACCAACAGTTTATATACTATAATTAGAGAAACAAATAATTTAAAACAACACACTATATATAGGAACAATTGTTTTCGACTAGAAATATAAAGAAACAGTTTTAAGAACCAACTCAGCCCGATTTCTCACTATAAAATACCCGAATATATTATATATAAGAACCACTTAAATAGCCTGATGAGCCTGACATAAAAATAGTGGTTCTTTTATGTGCGGGTTTTTACTCTCTTATTTTCAGAGACGCTCCTCAGTTGAAGTTTTGGGACACCCTGTATATATAAATCATTTTCAAAGTTTTTTTATATTTTATATTTGTTATATGCTTTCATGATTAACACACATACATCTGAAGAATATAGTTATGCGACACATATGTTTGATGGATCCCATGGGCAGTTCTCGCTTTCAGCTGACGATATAAATAAAACCACATATAAAATTGTTTCCGTATAACCAAAACAGTATAAGCAATTGTAAATTAGATGCGATCGTATGTTAAGAAATAAGACGTATCTATACTATAGAAATCGCGTGTCGTGCATATATACAATCCACAATCGTAATATACATGCGCAGTAATAGAGAACCTGCTGGGCTTAAATTTTGAGAAATATATAAGAAATTTTACCAAATGTATCACCTATCATAATTTTAGTACCAACTATACCTTGTCGCTTTGCGATAAACCAAAAGCCAAGCTCAGCCAGGCTGAGAAAATGAGGATTTTCAACAGAATTTTCGCAGACATCATTTTGTAAATTTTGTCTCCAAGCAAGTTCTGTCTTCTTCCTTCAGCTCCTTGAGACGTAATGATTGATTCTACCTACTGTGATCAGTTTTAGTCTGTATGCCTTCTGACAACCTGTCAAAAAACAAAGGTTGACAAAAGAACCAAGCGATCGTCATTAAATACCATGCAGCGTCTTGTATTTACAATTGGGTGTTATTGATCAATTTTCTTGGAAATATAAGGTCAGCCTAAAAATAAGATTATATTTGTTAGGAGGTAATTTTTACAGGATTTACTCTCTTTTTGCTCAAAAACAATTGGAGTGCATGCCTGCTCTTGTCCAATCAGAATTGAGTATTTTTATATCAAATGCTCTAGCTACCGCCAATATCAATTTACTGAGATTAGTTCCAAATCATATTTACAAAATATGAAATTTTTTAATTTAATCGACTTTTACGAGATGCATATCGAATTTATTCATTTTGCAATTACTAAATTGGAATATCGTCAAAAGAGTATGAATATGAAATACACTGTAGCACGCCTTCTTTTTCATGTCGTTTGATTTTTTGATGAATTTTGAATGAATTAATCCTTCAAAATCAGCTTCGTGAACAGTGGAATTATATATTGCGACATATATCCACACAACCTACATGCATGGCCAAGTTCTAAAAGTTGATATTTTAATAAGATCATCCCTGACAGACAACGTTATATGATCAATTATTGAAGACGAATCGCCCTTGTCCGCTTTCGAAAGATAAACGTTTTTCAACATGCAGACCGTGAATTTTCAGAGAACTTGATCAGCCGAGGTATATACGCATGTTTTTTAGTTGGGGAGGGTTTAATAAAAACTAAAATTTCTTATCTAAAATAACTTGGCCGAGAAAATTTAGGGTTAGGCCTTTGTGGAATATATCAAATTAACTGTTAATTCAATTAAACTTTATAAATTGATACCGTAGTCATAGCTACAGTATATACTCCAAGCATGTTGAGTTGATAATATTATTTG